TGTTTTTTTAAGATCTTGCTTTCTTTAAATGTTTCCAAGGCAACTGCTCTGATCCCGACAGGCACTCTTTAGTGATTTCACCACAGTGACTGACAATGTAATGACTCATCAACAATAATGATCGTTATCTACCGTATGCAGAGTCGGTGAAGTCGTCCACAGGCTGAAATCATTATGGACAGATATGGTCTGCGTGGGAAAAACAAAAATGAGGAATTATTAAAACTGTAAATTGTAAAAAGTTATTTTCATTCAAATGTGAAATTGCAGAACTTTTTTTATTATATATTTTTTTACTGGAAATATTTGAAGTATTTTCATTCAAATGTGAAATTTCAGAACTTTTTTTATTATATTTTTTTACTGGAAATATTTGAAGTTTTGTATTTGATAGGTCATCCCTGTAAGACAAATGTCCCAGTGATGTTTGAGTCTCATAAACTCAGGAGAAGTTTCTTCTTCGTGCAGCGGCTCATCGTTCAGTAGGACGGTGGATCCAAAAACACCTTGAAGACAGAATAAACTTGTGTTCAGATCATTACTTTAAAAAAAAAACATTCTCAGGGTCAGGAGGTTAATCAGAAAAGGAAACCAAAGGAGACGGGAAATAAATCGCTGCTGGAGATGAATGTGCTATAAAATAATCTACAGGCATATAATCCCGATTAGCGGGTATCAACAAGTCCTGGGATTAGCAGTGTAAAGCCCTCTAATGTATCTTTTAATGGCCGTGGTCCACGTTCTCTCTTAATCTAACCCATGGTTTGAGGCGGAACTAAAATAAATACTGTGTTGTTGTGTTTGAATGAAAAAGGTCAGTAAAGTAAAAGCAGAAACTCTTCACTGACCTGCGTTGACCATCAGGTTATATTTACACCAGTTGAAATAACGTTCACTGGACAGTAACAGTATTTCAGCTCCAGGGACAAAGATTACAACCAGAATTTCAGGTCATTACACCAACAACATCTTATTTTCCAAATTTAATTAAAAATAGTTTGTGTGAATTCTATTAAATTAAAAAAAATTAAAAATAGTTTGTGTGAATTCTATAATCAATTGTCACTTCATAGTAAAAAAGCATTTATTCTGCAGCAGTTACAATTATGTAAATCTAAACAACCTGTGTAGACTTCAAATATTAAACTACAACAATGACCAAAAACCTTCTTAAATCCTTGACCTGTTTTGTCAATGTTACTGTTCAGTGAAAAAAAAATGCAGCTTTTTCTGTCAGTTGTTGGAAGAAGCTGATCCCCGGGGGAGTCAGAGAGAAAAACAGAGAGAGAGGAGGGAGGGAGGGGAGATAGAGACGACGAGAGGAAGAGAAAATCTGTGTTTGTTGAATTATTGATGGACATCATCTTCTGCTACAGTATGTGGTCTCGGTGCTGCACGCAGCAGTGGGTTGAGTCATTCCTCGACTCTACGAGGCTGCGCACCGAACATTTACGCTCCTCACCCCAGTCCTCACCCGTCCTCACCCTCACTCTACTGTACAAACATGCACAAAAACTGTTCGCTGACACTGGGCCCTTCGTCCTAACACCAGCCTAAATCCATCACCATCTCATCCACCACCACGGTCACCTCGGCCTCGGCCTCGGCCTCACTGTCTGCTGCACAGCATCGTCCACAATCAATACAGTAAGTTTATGAGTGGGGGCTTTTAGGGTAGGCTAAGCTCTCTGTCTGGTAGAGAGTGAAAAAGAAGACCATTAGTGCGTGATGCCGTGTGCAACTCCTTCCTTTTGTCAGTCACACTCTGAGATCCAAACTAAAAGCTCTGGGCTTTTAGGAACTGCTGAATTCAAATCTCCTGAATCAGAGGAAACATAAACACTCTGGTTTTTTGTTTTTGTTTTTTTCTGTGTGGATTTGACATTAGCAGATTTCAATAGCACACTCACTGAAAGGCTATAAACTTGTTTGTGTTTGAATGTGTCAAACTCGAGGCCCACGGTCCCAATGCATCCCACCACGTCATCTCGTGTGGCCCGTGGGAGATGCTTGTGTTAAACTAAAGTCTATGCTTCAGAGTGTACCGTATATTGACCGTATAAAGACCATAAACTACAACTACAACAATGTATTTCATGGTGATGACACAGTACACAGATAAACAGTAGTTGAGCTGAGATATCTGTGTTTGTTGTCTGACTTTTTTTTTACTTGAAAGGTTTGATTTCATGTGAGTTTCTTAACCTGATGAATTAAAATGTTTTTTAATCACACAGAAAATTGTACAACATTTGTAACATCAATAAATAATAATTAACTGCAGAATTAATTAAAATGAGTTTAACCCAGCTGAGGCTAACTTTCTGACAGGCAGTGAAACTCTACAAATACTATGAGTGTCTCAGCTTTTTTTTTTGTGCTGCTACAAATACACAGTACTATGGCTGTGCTAAACTAAGGATCTGTGGCATCTGCCGGGTCAAAGCTTAACTCTAATCCTCTCACATCAAGATAAAGTCCAGAGACCTGGAGGAGACGAAGACGGAAGTTTTATCCAAGTTATAGTTGAATTAGGCTGGTGTTTATTAAACATCCAGCTGTTGGTTCCACTTCCTCTTTGACTGATAAGAAAAAGAGCAGGATGGGATTATAGAGCTCTTAAAAAAGTCAATTTTTAGTCATTCTTTTTTTTTTAACTCTAACAGATACATCTGTAACTTTTCATGTCACGTTAATCTCTTACATTTTTTGCGAGGCTCCTCATTTACTAACAGATGTTTTCCCACGTGCACTAATGCAGACAAACGTACACACAGAAGCAGCCTGGGGGGGGGAGGAGGTCTCGGCTTTTGTCACTTTGACTCTTGCAGCTCGAGAGCAGCCAACAGATTGCTCTTTTGAGAAAATCCCCTTTAAAAGGCTTCTGGGTTGGATTTATGCGGGAGGCAGAGGATGGCGCGGAGCTAAGCCTGTGCATATTTAGAGGCCGTTCCATCACAGGTGACGGTCAGTCCTCCTTCTACTGGAGACTGAAGTGTCCTGTTGTGTCCAGACTTTGACGTACGTCTGTGTCAGAGAGAGACCTAAGAGTAACTTCTCTCTTTCATCATTTCTAATTTCATAACTTTCATCTGGACAATAATTAAAGAAAATAAACACTCAGCATCCCATTCTTACAATATGATTTTCTTTTGCTTAATTCTAACTTTAAACTCTTCAACAGATGTAACGTGCTAATGCACATGGAAACTCAAGCCCAGCAGCAGGTTTTATTTGTTTCATAAGCACTTAGCGTTCATGATTTAATTGCGTTTATTACCAAACTTGATGAGAAGGGACAAATAACAAAGCTTGTCTCAAATGCCGCTGCCAGACTCTAAAAGCTCTTTGAGGCCGAGAGCGGTTTGGTACGGTGACATTTAGATAAGTTACAGCAGACGGTTTACATGCTGTTACGTTTGTTGGCTCTTTGTCGGTCAGTTGCTCATCTCGCTGTAATGAAGAGCGGGAGAGAGAGAGAGATTTCTGGAAATGGAAAGGGCTTCAGTCCCTGACTCAGCCTTTAAGCTGCTTTACAGGATTGTTGTTTATTTTTGCCTCTCACTCCATTTTAAGCAGACGGCTCATAGCATAGCAGAACAGAAGAGGGCAGAGTGGCTGGACTTTCTCTGTGCAGATGCAGACAGAGGAGAGGGGAGAGCTGTTCTGTCTTCACTCTGTAATCCTCACTATAAGGTGACCAGTAACATCAGAGACCGTCACCACCGAGGTCCTGCTGCTCTCTGCTGGGGATCTGTCGCCACAAATGAGCAGCTGAAAACATGTTACTGCATCCAGACTTTGTTTTAACCAAATTGAATAAACGTATAATTTACTGCAGGGCATTCCAAAAAAAAAAAAAGATTGAACTTTACAACAAAATTGTTGTGGTATTTCTGTTAACTCTATGAATCTTTCACACATTCATGAACTTATTGTACAGGCTATCTGCTTTTAATTATAATAATTATTAATAT